GCCGATCGAAAGGTCGGCGGTTCGAATCCCCGCGGCGGGGTGCGCTCCCGTTGCTCGGTCCCAGCGCCTGCCAACCTAGCAGTTCGAAAGCACCCCCAGGTGCAAGTAGATAAATAGGGACCGCTTACTAGCGGGAAGGTAAACGGCGTTTCCATGTGCAGCTCTGGCTCGCCAGAGCAGCGATGTCACGCTGGCCACGTGACCCGGAAGTGTCTCCGGACAGCACTGGCCCCTGGCCTCTTAAGTGAGATGGGCGCACAACCCCAGAGTCTGTCAAGACTGGCCCGTACGGGCAGGGGTACCTTTACCTTTTACCTATGGAGCCAGGAGGGAAAATGTAATCCTCATTTCAGCGGGCAACATTTTGCAACTCAGACATCAAATGCTGCGCATTGGTTTTGGATCGCTTTGGTTTTGGAACGGACTTCCAGAACGGATTAAGTTTGAGAACCAAGGTACCACTGTATAATAAATACAAATACTTAGCAATCGGCTGAGACATGAAAATGGGAAGAAAGTATGAGAAAGAAAGAAAGGATAGTATCTGGTCACGAGTTACTACTTCTGCTTCTCCTTTTACATTATCAGTATAAAACTGCAGACTGTTAAGATTTCTGAAAAACCTGATCTTGCAGTGCAATCTTATGGGCCTTGCTCTCAGATACAGCCCAAGACCCCTAATGACTCGCCTATAAAACCACAGTAACAGTAGGTTCAAGTCTGAAGCAAATTGGATTGCTTGCATTATATACAGTGCAAACGATCAACTCAGTTTTGTTGCCACATGGCTTGGAACCGGGGGGGGGGGGGGGGCACGGGAATCATATTCCAGATACATTAAGGAAATAGCTCGGCAGAATTATACCTTGAAAGCAGTTGCAGATGGCAGTTGCCGATAACTATACATATATGCGAAATTTGAGAAAGCGCTCACACAGAGCAAATATGCAAATGGTTTTTAAAAAGAACAAGTCATTTTAGAGGTGGCTATCTTTAAAGAAAATCCACATCTTATTTCACTATACGACATATAGTCAGGAATGCAGTACTGTTTTCAAAACCACAACCTTTTCTGGAATTTGCTATGTTCAGGAAACGGGCTCACGCACTTGTCAAAAGGAATCACTGTCAAGTCAATTATAAAATGCATTTTAATATGCTGCAAGTTCACTTCCCAGTACCGTGATCCTGACTATTGCCTGCAAACCACACACCCCCCTCAAATCGACATAATCCAAAACAGCCTTACTCCCTTTAATAGAAGTAACGTTTTTTGTTTCTTTTAGGAGAACCGCAATTCGACTGCTTTAACAACTTTGCATTGGACACAAGAACACTGGTTCTCTATTGACATGTGCATTCCTACAATATATTTTGCTTTCAGACTGAAAGGGGAACATGTCAGAGACTGCAAGTATAAAACCTTGATATTCAACATTCCTTCCATGGAGGCACAAAATAGAAAACAAAGAAAGTATGTTTCTGTTAAGGTAAAGGTAAAGGGACCCTTGACCATTAGGTCCAGTCGTGACCGACTCTGGGGTTGCAGTGCTCATCTCGCTTTATTGGCCGAGGGAGCCGGCGTACAGCTTCCTGGTCATGTGGCCAGCATGACTAAGCTGCTTCTGGCGAACCAGAGCAGCGCACAGAAACACCGTTTACCTTCCCGCCGGAGTGGTACCTGTTTATCTACTTGCACTTCGACATGCTTTCGAATTGCTAGGTTGGCAGAAGCGGGGACAGAGCAATGGGAGCTCACCCCGTCGCGGGGATTCAAACCACCGACCTTCTGATTGGCAAACCCAAGAGGCTCTGTGGTTTAGACCAGTGTTTCCCAACCTTGGGCCTCCAGCTGTTTTTGAACTACAATTCCCATCATCCTTGACCACTGGTCTTGCTAGCTAGGGATGATGGGAGTTGTAGTCCAAAAACAGCTGGAGGCCCAAGGTTGGGAAACACTGGTTTAGACAACCGCGCCACCCGCATCCCAGCAGACAGAGCCACGGATAGGTGGACTGGAGGCAGAGGCTCCAAAGGTCTCAGTCCACCTCTAGCCTCTGTTGGGGCAAGTGCCTCACTTAGGAGCTCTCCATGGTGCTGAAACACATTGCCTGGCCTGCCTTGCCCTGTGGAAATCAGACCCCGAGCTGGAAAACATTCCCCAATCCTCCTCTGCTTCCACTTCTCAAAGAGTGCTTCAAGGCAGAGGGCAGCATTCCACTTTCTTTCAGCTTTTCACTGCAGAGCTCCAGTTGGCACGAGGCACAATCGTCACCCTTGCCAGCTTTCCTTCCCCCAGAATCATCTGGAGGGGGTGGGGCTGCCTGAAGCTATCACAACAACACATCTGCTCTATAGTAAAAAGTTAAAAGGAAAGAAGTTGCAGGGAGTCAGGGGAGGCTGCTGTGGCGCCATGTCCTTGGGCCCCACGGTTCAGCCCCCAAGGATGAACAGAATACTTTGTATACGTAAGTGGCTTGTAATGTTGGAAGCATGTGGTAAATCATGAAGATTTGCTTTGGATCATGTTTGGTGGAGCCAGCAGTCAAAGCCAGGTCTTCTGACTCAGATTAAAGGTGTAACAACCAGATGCAATATGTTATGGCTTAATTTTGCTAATGAGTAATTGTCAGATCAAGTTTACTGATACTCCACATGCCTTCAAATAAAAAAAATATAAATTGATTTTATTATTTATTTAGTTGCGCCAGAAGCGGGACTCCATACAATAAGGGGTAAGGGGTAAAGAAACCCAAAAAATGCAAGGAAGTATAAAAGCAAGCAGCACGTTTTTCTTCGTTAAAAAATGCAGGTAAAAATTAAAACCAGAAACTCTTAAGGATTCTCTAAAAGTTGCTTTAGGAATCAGACTACCCTGAGACACAAATTTTGCAAACTCATTCAGTTAAGCAGTTAATTTCATGACCCGGAAGGCTGTATGCTACTCTAAAGACCATCCTGGGATGAAAGCAATTGATGGACAAAGAAATCTGCTTCGTTTTTTCTCTACAAAAATTACACAACAGTAACAAATGCAGTATAGTTTCTAACTCTTTCCTAGCACTTTGGCAAACAGGATTTCACATGGAATGCCATTAAAATGTCTTACACATTTCTTCCAAAATAGTTGAGGAAGAACATTACAGCAACTTCATGCAAATGCATTCCTATATTTTGGAATAAATAATGACCCTAAGTAATTAGCTCCTTGTGGAACTACTTTAGAACAAATATTCTGGGCAAAGGCAGTTTTTGGGTTATTGTTATTGGGTTCTGCTCATTAGTATATTTGGTCCATTGTGCCAGAATATATTTTGCCTTATTCAAGTTCAAGTTGGGGGTGGGCGGGGCGGAATACAGTACTGATAAAGCAGAAGTATAAAATTTGTTTTTCAGGGAATTGTTCTAATCAATGCTATAAGAATCTTCACACATTAAGTATAGCAAATTAAAAGTATCCTCCAAAAGTGAAAACAGTAGCCACCAAAACCCAAGCTTTCCTTTCTACTGAAATAAAGCGAGCTTATACCCTAAGCGATGTTAAAGTCACACTTCCAGGAAGAGCAAGCATTTATTAAAAAGAAAAATACATACCTACGTGTGTGTGTGTGTGTGTGTGTGTGTGTGTGTTTATACACCCACCCTACAATACATACAAGTGACAAAACTGCCTTCAGTTTAGAATTTACACTGACATCCCACTCCTCTCCCCCACCCAATAATTTTTATTATTTTCCCCCAAATATCTTAAATACAATACAGCTTAACAATACTATTCTCCCACATCCCACTCCTGTAGACCAAGCAAAAGCTGCATTGCTGGAGATGTAACGCTAACTTCCTACCAACCATGGTTATCAAACCCAGAGCCCGCCACAGAAATTCACACTCCTTCCTTGTAGAATAAATCATCTGCCAGACCACAAGATCCCCATTCGTACTGTGGTCCTTCCCTAGAGCAAAATCCCTTTCCTCTTCGGTGGGAGCAAAGCAATTCACAGTCATCAGGCTTCACGACAGTTAAACGCTGAAAACATTCACTAGTGGCGAAAGAAACTCATATCCCCCCGATTCCGCGCATGATAGTGTCCGTGCTGTTTCCAGGGTGAAAAACTGAACATGCTTTGATAGCTGGTCACTGATTAAACAGAATCAAGTGTTAGGGTTTTTTTATTCCTGATCCATAACACGGTTGAGCAAAATTACTAGACTTTGAGCTGATAGCAACACCGTTCCAATGTATAGCTCTGCACACAAATGTGTTCCAAGAATTACCTGAGAGGCTCAGTATGCTTACTGAATACAAGTGGGTATATATCGGTAGATGTATGAATAGATAGCAGAAAGAGTTTTTAAAATAATTCGGCACTCTCAAAAGAGAAGCAATGCTTTTAAAACCAAGCACTCAGCTGTTCTTACTCTAGCAAGTTTCTCAAAGGAGTCCTTTATCCCCACAATGAATGAGAGCTGAACACTCGTTGCACAAATCTGTCCCAATTACAGTTGAGGAATTTCCAAAGAATAGCGCCATAGATGGATAAATATTCCCTGTGTCTGGCTCACATGCCTTTTAGATGTGCGGGAGCTGACCTGAACACAGATAATGTACAAAAGAACTAACTACTGGAATTTCCAGGCCTAACGCAGAGTGGCTCTTCCATAGATCTGTGTCCCGAGAGTTTCTTTAAGATTTTGTGCGCTACTGTTATAAAAGACATACAAGTCACTTGAAAGGAGAGAGAAATTGAAGTTCCATAAAACAGAACTATGTATATTTTCCAACAATACAAACCAAGGAGGTTTTAAACTTCCATTTGAACCCAAGTACAAATAAAAAACAGATGAGACGTTTCCACCGATTTTTGGAATCCTGTTTAAATATAAACACTTTTCTTCTTTAGAAGAAATTGCTGTGTTCTTAGCAATTAAAAGAACCCTCCGTCATGACGACACAATGAAAGATGTTCAGTTACTGATCCTTCCATGGACATATTACTCACCTGGCGATTTCATGTAATATTGCTCAATATCAGACATGTCCGTATTCAGTGCGCACTCCAGATAGCTGAGGATAACTTTTCTACTGAAGTAGTAACCTCATACCCATTAGAAAGAAGGGCAAACAGCAGGTCAGCAGCAAAGGACTTGGTCACAACAAAGCACATTACTATGGAGATAAGGAAGAGAAATAAACGATACCTGTCAGAAAAGAGAATTCAGTGTTGATTTTGGAACACAAACCCAAAAGTCACAGATATTATACAGCAAACATTCTTTGCACAATGTATTTCATTTTGCTTATAGAACAGGTCTTTTAAACATTCTTAAAAATGTGCTGCTTTGTTCACTTAAGGGAGTCTTCTAGCTTCAATTACTTTTTAAAATGCATCATCTCAAAACAGAGGCCTGTTCAATGGTTATAAAAATAAGGCTTTCTCCCTTGAACTGCACATTCCTCCCCCCTCCCCAGCATGGCTGTGAGGAGGAATCTGGGAGCCTCCACTTCTGTTTTAGATTAACCTAGCCCCCCACCCCACCCCATGTAGTTTCAGAACAATTGGATAAAAATAAATTCATGGATTTATTATTTTTAAATGTGGTTGTATAGCTTGTGGCAAAGACTTTCCCCTTTAAGGGTCTGAGAAGCAAACTGGGAGCTATTGGGGAAAACTGAAGCGGGGTGGATTTTATGACAGATTAGTCAATCCTGAACATTTTAATCTCCAGTTAGAGGTAGGTAGCCCTGTTGGTCTGCCGTAGTCGAAACAAAAAAAAAAAAAATCCTTCCAGTAGCAACTAAGTTTGTTACTGGTATGAGCTTTCGGAGGTGATCTGGAAGAAAGATGTGCTTGCAGCACGGCCGGGAAAGGCTCATCACCGAAAACAAAGCTTATGTTGGTCCTGAATGATGCTAGCTTCGAACTGCAAGAAGATCATAACACCTATGTCCAGGTTGCTGGAAGGAAATTCAGCCCCTGAGGGCTCACTGGGAAGGACAGATCCTGAAGCTAGGCTCCAATACTTGGCCACCTCATGAGAAGAGAAGACTCCCTGGAAAAGACCCCTGGGAGTGTTGGAGAAAAGATGGATGTTGGGGGAAAGATGGAAAGAAGGACCCGCATCCCTGATTGGCCAGGAGAGCACTCAGTGAACAAGTAAGCCGAATGTCATTCGCTGGATTGTCACACGAATTGGGCGGGCTTGAGAAGGGCGAAATCTCTGCGCCCTTGGCCACCTGCCACAGTTGAAATGATTTGAAGTTCCTCGGGCGGCCCCAGGTGCCGAGGCTGATCACACCGACACGGACCACAGACGCGGGGGGTTGGGGAACACTGAGCTAAAAGCATGCCCATGGACCAGGCTGACCAATCCAAACTCTGCTTCAAAAACATCCAAGGAACTCACCTTCCATCTGAGTTCCACTGACAACTGGATCACCTCTAGCTATCGGCTTGTAGACTATCCAAGAACTCTTATAGGTTTATGAAACAGGACTGGCCCCTTGCGTGTTGAGGTCCCCAAGCCACCCTCAAATAAAACACAATTCACACAGAATTTTTGTTTCGGGTTTTTGCATAATTTCTGGCCACATTATTGATTACAGAATGTGAGTGGTGCGTTAGGCATTGGTTCGCGACTATCTGTTCCACCACAGAGGCAGGGACAGAACTGGACATCCGCCAAGGCCTGTGGAAGTCATATAAGGGGAAAATATTTTGGGGCAGAGAATAGAGGATGGTTGCCAGACCGCGGTCGAGCCTGCTCCCCAGATGCGTCCCAGGGCGCTCTTGCGGTGGCCCTTAGCCCCTTGACCAGGGGTGGTCGGGAGCGAAGGAAGCATGGCAAGACCCTGGATTCCTTTAATGGCAGCCGGTTCTAAAAACCTTGTGGGTCCCAGATGTCTTGTTGGAACTACAACTCCCATCATCCCTGACCACTGGTCATGCTGGCTAGGAATGATGGGAGTTGTAGTCCAACAACATCTGGGGACCCACAGGTTGAGAAACATTGCTTTAACGGAATACGCTTGCAGCAGCAGCAGCATTGGAGAGGCAGGCACAGCCAACCACATCCCCTCCACCAACCAAATTTAACCAATGCCTAACCGCAACCTTGCAAGTTGTGACAATTTGCTACGCAGTAGGCAAAAACCTAATCAGCCAAATGGACAAAATTCCTACCAGGCCCCTGCCCCAAAGCAGACGACCCCATGACAGGCATAGCAAGGTCAATGCAAACAGGCCTAAATATAGGGAGGGTGGGCGGGTGATCCGATGCGCGCAGCGAAAAGAGGCAGCTCAACAGGGAATAAATAGCCCCTTGGCCTGTCCATCACAAATTGCAACATCAGATTCTCCCTAACGACCAAGAGGTGCATACAGTGGTGCCCCGCAAGACGAATGCCTCGCAAGATGAAAAACCCGCAAGACGAAAGGGTTTTCCGTTGCGGAGGCGCTTCGCAAGACGAATTTCCCTATGGGCTTGCTTCGCAAGACGAAAACGTCTTGCGAGTCTCGCCATTTCCCCCCGCTTCCCCCCCTTTTTCAAAGCCGCTATGCCGTTAATAGCCTTTTAACAGCTTAGCCGCTAAGCCTTTAATAGCCGCTAATCCGCTAAATCACTAATAGCGCTAATCCGCTTAGCCGCTAATGGGGTTGCTTCGCAAGACGAAAAAACCGCTAGACGAAGAGAATCGCGGAACGGATTCTTTTGTCTTGCGAGGCACCACTGTAATAAGATTTGTGGCCATCCAAACTAACCCGCCCAGCAACAGAGGGATGTCTGGTTTGCCCCCACCGCAACACACGCTCTCCATGAAGGAGAACACGCTCTGTAGAAACCACATTGACTCTGGTTCAGCCAAGTGTGTGGCTATTTTATCTTTAAAAATACTTTCCACCAGTTATCCGAGGATGGATGCTAAGTTAATCAGTCTGTAATGTCCAGGACCACACACCCCTGGATCCCTTTTGGAAAACCGGTGTGACAATGGCTACTTTCCAGTTCTTGGGCTGATCTGAGGGATGTCTGTATGTCACCTGGACCTGGTGATTTGCCGGTTTTTATTTTGTCTAATAGGGACGCGGGTGGCGCTGTGGGTAAAAGCCTCAGTGCCTAGGGCTTGCCGATCAAAAGGTCGGCGGTTCGAATCCCCCGCGGTGGGGTGCGCTCCGTTGTTCGGTCCCAGCGCCTGCCAACCTAGCAGTTCGAAAGCACTCCCGGGTGCAAGTAGATAAATAGGGACTGCTTACTAGCGGGAAGGTAAACAGCGTTTCCGTGTGCGGCTCTGGCTCACCAGAGCAGCGATGTCACGCTGGCCACGTGACCCGGAAGTGTCTCCGGACAGCGCTGGCCCCCGGCCTCTTGAGTGAGATGGGCGCACAACCCCAGAGTCTGTCAAGACTGGCCCGTACGGGCAGGGGTACCTTTACCTTTACCTTTATTTTGTCTAATAGGCCGATCACATCGAGCTCTCATCACCAGCATCTGCCCGTGTTCCTCCTGCAAAGGTTAGTGCCAACACTGGGGTCTGCCCTATATCCTTCCATGGTTGGGACAGATGCAAGTACAGTGGTACCTCGGGTTAAGTACTTAATTCGTTCCGGAGGTCCGTTCTTAACCTAAACTGTTCTTAACCTGAAGGCCACTTTAGCTAATGGGGCCTCCTGTTGCCGCCATGCCGCCTCTGCGTGATTTGTGTTCTCATCCTGAAGTAAAGTTCTTAACCCGAAGTACTATTTCTGGGTTAGCGGAGTCTGTAACCTGAAGAGATAAATTTAGATGTGTCTGTGTTTATTTTTAGACTGTAAGCCTGTGGGCAAATCTGTCTAGAAATTGTAGGCATTTTATAAGTAAAAGTTTAAAATACAAATAAATACGAAATCTAGTTCAGGTTTAACAGGCTCTGAAGGAACCAGGTGGCTTTTGCTTGTTCTTCTTGCAAGCGACTTCCTAAACCCAACAAAATTTGATCTCCCATTCCAGGCTTGTTGGAAGTCACAGTGGGCCTTTGTTACTTTTGCAAGTCGAGTCAGCTGTCAGTTCTCATGTTCAGAACTGGCCCCCCACCCTGAACTAGGACATCCTAAAGAGATTGAGTTTTGCTGGCTGCTATGGAGCCAGGATCCAGGGACGCGGGTGGCGCTGTGGGTAAAAGCCTCAGCGCCTAGGGCTTGCCGATCGAAAGGTCGGCGGTTCGAATCCCCGCGGCGGGGTGCGCTCCCGTTGCTAGGTCCCAGCGCCTGCCAACCTAGCAGTTCGAAAGCACCCCCGGGTGCAAGTAGATAAATAGGGACCGCTTACTAGCGGGAAGGTAAACGGCGTTTCCATGTGCGGCTCTGGCTCGCCAGAGCAGCGATGTCACGCTGGCCACGTGACCCGGAAGTGTCTCCGGACAGCGCTGGCCCCCGGCCTCTTGAGTGAGATGGGCGCACAACCCCAGAGTCTGTCAAGACTGGCCCGTACGGGCAGGGGTACCTTTACCTTTTACCTATGGAGCCAGGAGGGAAAATGTAATCCTCATTTCAGCGGGCAACATTTTGCAACTCAGACATCAAATGCTGCGCATTGGTTTTGGATCGCTTTGGTTTTGGAACGGACTTCCAGAACGGATTAAGTTTGAGAACCAAGGTACCACTGTATAATAAATACAAATACTTAGCAATCGGCTGAGACATGAAAAGAGTGAAGTAAGCAAACCTCAGTGGCTTTTCCACTGAGATGGGAAGAAAGTATGAGAAAGAAAGAAAGAAAGGATAGTATCTGGTCACGAGTTACTACTTCTGCTTCTCCTTTTACATTATCAGTATAAAACTGCAGACTGTTAAGATTTCTGAAAAACCTGATCTTGCAGTGCAATCTTATGGGCCTTGCTCTCAGATACAGCCCAAGACCCCTAATGACTCGCCTATAAAACCACAGTAACAGTAGGTTTAAGTCTGAAGCAATTGGATTGCTTGCATTATATACAGTGCAAACGATCAACTCAGTTTTGTTGCAACATAGCTTGGAACCGGGGGGGGGGGGCACGGGAATCATATTCCAGATACATTAAGGAATAGCTCGGCAGAATTATACCTTGAAAGCAGTTGCAGATGGCAGTTGCCGATAACTATACATATATGCGAAATTTGAGAAAGCGCTCACACAGAGCAAATATGCAAATGGTTTTTAAAAAGAACAAGTCATTTTAGAGGTGGCTATCTTTAAAGAAAATCCACATCTTATTTCACTATATGACATATAGTCAGGAATGCAGTACTGTTTTCAAAACCACAACCTTTTCTGGAATTTGCTATGTTCAGGAAACGGGCTCACGCACTTTGTCAAAAGGAATCACTGTCAAGTCAATTATAAAATGCATTTTAATACGCTGCAAGTTCACTTCCCAGTACCGGTGATCCTGACTATTGCCTGCAAACCACACACCCCCCTCAAATCGACATAATCCAAAACAGCCTTACTCCCTTTAATAGAAGTAACGTTTTTTGTTTCTTTTAGGAGAACCGCAATTCGACTGCTTTAACAACTTTGCATTGGACACAAGAACACTGGTTCTCTATTGACATGTGCATTCCTACAATATATTTTGCTTTCAGACTGAAAGGGGAACATGTCAGAGACTGCAAGTATAAAACCTTGATATTCAACATTCCTTCCATGGAGGCACAAAATAGAAAACAAAGAAAGTATGTTTCTGTTAAGGTAAAGGTAAAGGGACCCTTGACCATTAGGTCCAGTCGTGACCGACTCTGGGGTTGCAGTGCTCATCTCGCTTTATTGGCCGAGGGAGCCGGCGTACAGCTTCTGGTCATGTGGCCAGCATGACTAAGCTGCTTCTGGCGAACCAGAGCAGCGCACAGAAACACCGTTTACCTTCCCGCCGGAGTGGTACCTGTTTATCTACTTGCACTTCGACATGCTTTCGAATTGCTAGGTTGGCAGAAGCGGGGACAGAGCAATGGGAGCTCACCCCATCGCGGGATTCGAACCACCGACCTTCTGATTGGCAAACCCAAGAGGCTCTGTGGTTTAGACCAGTGTTTCCCAACCTTGGGCCTCCAGCTGTTTTTGAACTACAATTCCCATCATCCTTGACCACTGGTCTTGCTAGCTAGGGATGATGGGAGTTGTAGTCCAAAAACAGCTGGAGGCCCAAGGTTGGGAAACACTGGTTTAGACAACCGCGCCACCCGCATCTCAGCAGACAGAGCCACGGATAGGTGGACTGGAGGCAGAGGCTCCAAAGGTCTCAGTCCACCTCTAGCCTCTGTTGGGGCAAGTGCCTCACTTAGGAGCTCTCCATGGTGCTGAAACACATTGCCTGGCCTGCCTTGCCCTGTGGAAATCAGACCCCGAGCTGGAAAACATTCCCCAATCCTCCTCTGCTTCCACTTCTCAAAGAGTGCTTCAAGGCAGAGGGCAGCATTCCACTTTCTTTCAGCTTTTCACTGCAGAGCTCCAGTTGGCACGAGGCACAATCGTCACCCTTGCCAGCTTTCCTTCCCCCAGAATCATCTGGAGGGGGTGGGGCTGCCTGAAGCTATCACAACAACACATCTGCTCTATAGTAAAAAGTTAAAAGGAAAGAAGTTGCAGGGAGTCAGGGAAGGCTGCTGTGGCGCCATGTCCTTGGGCCCATGGTTCAGCCCCCAAGGATGAACAGAATACTTTGTATACGTAAGTGGCTTGTAATGTTGGAAGCATGTGGTAAATCATGAAGATTTGCTTTGGATCATGTTTGGTGGAGCCAGCAGTCAAAGCCAGGTCTTCTGACTCAGATTAAAGGTGTAACAACCAGATGCAATATGTTATGGCTTAATTTTGCTAATGAGTAATTGTCAGATCAAGTTTACTGATACTCCACATGCCTTCAAATAAAAAAAATATAAATTGATTTTATTATTTATTTAGTTGCGCCAGAAGCGGGACTCCATACAATAAGGGGTAAGGGGTAAAGAAACCCAAAAAATGCAAGGAAGTATAAAAGCAAGCAGCACGTTTTTCTTCGTTAAAAAATGCAGGTAAAAATTAAAACCAGAAACTCTTAAGGATTCTCTAAAAGTTGCTTTAGGAATCAGACTACCCTGAGACACAAATTTTGCAAACTCATTCAGTTAAGCAGTTAATTTCATGACCCGGAAGGCTGTATGCTACTCTAAAGACCATCCTGGGATGAAAGCAATTGATGGACAAAGAAATCTGCTTCGTTTTTTCTCTACAAAAATTACACAACAGTAACAAATGCAGTATAGTTTCTAACTCTTTCCTAGCACTTTGGCAAACAGGATTTCACATGGAATGCCATTAAAATGTCTTACACATTTCTTCCAAAATAGTTGAGGAAGAACATTACAGCAACTTCATGCAAATGCATTCCTATATTTTGGAATAAATAATGACCCTAAGTAATTAGCTCCTTGTGGAACTACTTTAGAACAAATATTCTGGGCAAAGGCAGTTTTTGGGTTATTGTTATTGGGTTCTGCTCATTAGTATATTTGGTCCATTGTGCCAGAATATATTTTGCCTTATTCAAGTTCAAGTTGGGGGTGGGCGGGGCGGAATACAGTACTGATAAAGCAGAAGTATAAAATTTGTTTTTCAGGGAATTGTTCTAATCAATGCTATAAGAATCTTCACACATTAAGTATAGCAAATTAAAAGTATCCTCCAAAAGTGAAAACAGTAGCCACCAAAACCCAAGCTTTCCTTTCTACTGAAATAAAGCGAGCTTATACCCTAAGCGATGTTAAAGTCACACTTCCAGGAAGAGCAAGCATTTATTAAAAAGAAAAATACATACCTACGTGTGTGTGTGTGTGTGTGTGTGTGTGTGTGTGTTTATACACCCACCCTACAATACATACAAGTGACAAAACTGCCTTCAGTTTAGAATTTACACTGACATCCCACTCCTCTCCCCCACCCAATAATTTTTATTATTTTCCCCCAAATATCTTAAATACAATACAGCTTAACAATACTATTCTCCCACATCCCACTCCTGTAGACCAAGCAAAAGCTGCATTGCTGGAGATGTAACGCTAACTTCCTACCAACCATGGTTATCAAACCCAGAGCCCGCCACAGAAATTCACACTCCTTCCTTGTAGAATAAATCATCTGCCAGACCACAAGATCCCCATTCGTACTGTGGTCCTTCCCTAGAGCAAAATCCCTTTCCTCTTCGGTGGGAGCAAAGCAATTCACAGTCATCAGGCTTCACGACAGTTAAACGCTGAAAACATTCACTAGTGGCGAAAGAAACTCATATCCCCCCAGATTCCGCGCATGATAGTGTCCGTGCTGTTTCCAGGGTGAAAAACTGAACATGCTTTGATAGCTGGTCACTGATTAAACAGAATCAAGTGTTAGGGTTTTTTTATTCCTGATCCATAACACGGTTGAGCAAAATTACTAGACTTTGAGCTGATAGCAACACCGTTCCAATGTATAGCTCTGCACACAAATGTGTTCCAAGAATTACCTGAGAGGCTCAGTATGCTTACTGAATACAAGTGGGTATATATCGGTAGATGTATGAATAGATAGCAGAAAGAGTTTTTAAAATAATTCGGCACTCTCAAAAGAGAAGCAATGCTTTTAAAACCAAGCACTCAGCTGTTCTTACTCTAGCAAGTTTCTCAAAGGAGTCCTTTATCCCCACAATGAATGAGAGCTGAACACTCGTTGCACAAATCTGTCCCAATTACAGTTGAGGAATTTCCAAAGAATAGCGCCATAGATGGATAAATATTCCCTGTGTCTGGCTCACATGCCTTTTAGATGTGCGGGAGCTGACCTGAACACAGATAATGTACAAAAGAACTAACTACTGGAATTTCCAGGCCTAACGCAGAGTGGCTCTTCCATAGATCTGTGTCCCGAGAGTTTCTTTAAGATTTTGTGCGCTACTGTTATAAAAGACATACAAGTCACTTGAAAGGAGAGAGAAATTGAAGTTCCATAAAACAGAACTATGTATATTTTCCAACAATACAAACCAAGGAGGTTTTAAACTTCCATTTGAACCCAAGTACAAATAAAAAACAGATGAGACGTTTCCACCGATTTTTGGAATCCTGTTTAAATATAAACACTTTTCTTCTTTAGAAGAAATTGCTGTGTTCTTAGCAATTAAAAGAACCCTCCGTCATGACGACACAATGAAAGATGTTCAGTTACTGATCCTTCCATGGACATATTACTCACCTGGCGATTTCATGTAATATTGCTCAATATCAGACATGTCCGTATTCAGTGCGCACTCCAGATAGCTGAGGATAACTTTTCTACTGAAGTAGTACCTCATACCCATTAGAAAGAAGGGCAAACAGCAGGTCAGCAGCAAGGACTTGGTCACAACAAAGCACATTACTATGGAGATAAGGAAGAGAAATAAACGATACCTGTCAGAAAAGAGAATTCAGTGTTGATTTTGGAACACAAACCCAAAAGTCACAGATATTATACAGCAAACATTCTTTGCACAATGTATTTCATTTTGCTTATAGAACAGGTCTTTTAAACATTCTTAAAAATGTGCTGCTTTGTTCACTTAAGGGAGTCTTCTAGCTTCAATTACTTTTTAAAATGCATCATCTCAAAACAGAGGCCTGTTCAATGGTTATAAAAATAAGGCTTTCTCCCTTGAACTGCACATTCCTCCCCCCTCCCCAGCATGGCTGTGAGGAGGAATCTGGGAGCCTCCACTTCTGTTTTAGATTAACCTAGCCCCCCCCCCACCCCATGTAGTTTCAGAACAATTGGATAAAAATAAATTCATGGATTTATTTATTTTTAAATGTGGTTGTATAGCTTGTGGCAAAGACTTTCCCCTTAAGGGTCTGAGAGCAAACTGGGAGCTATGGGGAAAACTGAAGCGGGGTGGATTTTATGACAGATTAGTCAATCCTGAACATTTTAATCTCCAGTTAGAGGTAGGTAGCCGTGTTGGTCTGCCGTAGTCGAAACAAAATAAAAAAAATCTTTCCAGTAGCAACTAAGTTTGTTACTGGTATGAGCTTTCGGAGGTATCTGAAGAAGTGTGCTTGCACAGGAAAGCTCATACCAGAAACAAACTTAGTTGGTTCCTAAGATGCTACTGACTGCAAGAAGATCAAACCTTTCCATTCTGAAGGAAATCAGCCCTGAGTGCTCACTGGAAGGACAGATCCTGAAGCTGAGGCTCCAATACTTTGGCCACCTCATGAGAAGAGAAGACTCCCTGGAAAAGACCCTGATGTTGGGAAAGATGATGTTGGGAAAGATGGAAAAAAGGACCCGCTCCCTGATTGGCCAGGAGGAGCACCAGTGTAACAATAGCGAATTTTCATTCGCTATTGTCACACAATGGGCGGGCTTGAGAGGGCGCAATGCTCTGCGCCTTGGCCACCTGCCACAGTGAAATGATTTGAAGTTCCTCGGGCGGCCCGGTGCCGACTGATCCACAGACCGGACCACGGACCGGGGGGTTGGGGAACACTGAGCTAAAGCATCCATGACAGGTGACCATCCAAACTCTGCTTCAAAAACATCCAAGGAACTCACCTTCCATCTGAGTTCCACTGACAACTGGATCACCTCTAGCTATCGGCTTGTAGCTATCCAAGAACTCTTATAGGTTTATGAAACAGGACTGGCCCTTGCGTGTTGAGGTCCCCAAGCCACCCTCAAATAAAACACAATTCACACAGAATTTTTGTTTCGGGTTTTTGGCATAATTTCTGGCCACAACTTTATTGATTACAGAATGTGAGTGGTTGCTTAGGCATTGGTTCGCGACTATCTGTTCCCACACAGAGGCAGGGACAGAACTGACATCCGCAAGCCTGTGGAAGTCAATAAGGGAAAATATTTTGGGGAGAGAATAGAGATGGGTGCCAGACCCTCACCTCTCCCCAGATGCTCCCAGGGGCTCTTGCGTGGCCCTAGCCCCTTGACCACTGGTCATGCTGGCTAGGAATGATGGGAGTTGTAGTCCAACAACATCTGGGGACCCACAGGTTGAGAAACATTGCTTTAACGGAATACGCTTGCAGCAGCAGCAGCAGCATTGGAGAGGCAGGCACAGCCAACCACATCCCCTCCACCAACCAAATTTAACCAATGCCTAACCGCAACCTTGCAAGTTGTGACAATTTGCTACGCAGTAGGCAAAAACCTAATCAGCCAAATGGACAAAATTCCTACCAGGCCCCTGCCCCAAAGCAGACGACCCCATGACAGGCATAGCAAGGTCAATGCAAACAGGCCTAAATATAGGGAGGGTGGGCGGGTGATCCGATGCGCGCAGCGAAAAGAGGCAGCTCAACAGGGAATAAATAGCCCCTTGGCCTGTCCATCACAAATTGCAACATCAGATTCTCCCTAACGACCAAGAGGTGCATACAGTGGTGCCCCGCAAGACGAATGCCTCGCAAGATGAAAAACCCGCAAGACGAAAGGGTTTTCCGTTGCGGAGGCGCTTCGCAAGACGAATTTCCCTATGGGCTTGCTTCGCAAGACGAAAACGTCTTGCGAGTCTCGCCATTTTTCCCCCCGCTTCCCCCCCCCTTTTTCAAAGCCGCTATGCCGTTAATAGCCTTTTAACAGCTTAGCCGCTAAGCCTTTAATAGCCGCTAATCCGCTAAATCACTAATAGCGCTAATCCGCTTAGCCGCTAATGGGGTTGCTTCGCAAGACGAAAAAACCGCTAGACGAAGAGAATCGCGGAACGGATTCTTTTGTCTTGCAAGGCACCACTGTAATAAGATTTGTGGCCATCCAAACTAACCCGCCCAGCAACAGAGGGATGTCTGGTTTGCCCCCAACGCAACACACGCTCTCCATGAAGGAGAACACGCTCTGTAGAAACCACATTGACTCTGGTTCAGCCAAGTGTGTGGCTATTTTATCTTTAAAAATACTTTCCACCAGTTATCCGAGGATGGATGCTAAGTTAATCAGTCTGTAATGTCCAGGACTCCACACACCCCTGGATCCCTTTTGGAAAACCGGTGTGACAATGGCTACTTTCCAGTTCTTGGGCTGATCTGAGGGATGTCTGTATGTCACCTGGACCTGGTGATTTGCCGGTTTTTATTTTGTCTAATAGGGACGCGGGTGGCGCTGTGGGTAAAAGCCTCAGTGCCTAGGGCTTGCCGATCAAAAGGTCGGCGGTTCGAATCCCCGCGGTGGGGTGCGCTCCCGTTGTTCGGTCCCAGCGCCTGCCAACCTAGCAGTTCGAAAGCACTCCCGGGTGCAAGTAGATAAATAGGGACTGCTTACTAGCGGGAAGGTAAACAGCGTTTCCGTGTGCGGCTCTGGCTCACCAGAGCAGCGATGTCACGCTGGCCACGTGACCCGGAAGTGTCTCCGGACAGCCCTGGCCCCCGGCCTCTTGAGTGAGATGGGCGCACAACCCCAGAGTCTGTCAAGACTGGCCCGTACGGGCAGGGGTACCTTTACCTTTACCTTTATTTTGTCTAATAGGCCGATCACATCGAGCTCTCATCACCAGCATCTGCCCGTGTTCCTCCTGCAAAGGTTAGTGCCAACACTGGGGTCTGCCCTATATCCTTCCATGGTTGGGACAGATGCAAGTACAGTGGTACCTCGGGTTAAGTACTTAATTCGTTCCGGAGGTCCGTTCTTAACCTGAAACTGTTCTTAACCTGAAACACCACTTTAGCTAATGGGGCCTCCCTGCTGCCGCTGAGCCGCCGGAGCACGATTTCTGTTCTCTTCCTGAAGCAAAGTTCTTAAGCTGAAGCACTATTTCTGGGTTAGTGGAGTCTGTAACCTGAAGCGTATGTAACCCGAGGTACCACTGTAATTCATTCAGTTTCTCTGCACTCTCCTTAGGCACATCTCTGGCTCTCTAGATATCCAAAGGTCATTTCCTAGAGTGTAGCACCCAGAATTGGGCACAGCAATTAAAATGAGGTCTGACTAGTGAGGAATAAAGTGGAATTATGGCTTCGTGTGTCTTGGAAACCCTGGTTCTAATAATACAGCCTAAAATGGCATTAACCGCCCCCCCCCCGCCAGCTGTATCACACTGCTGACTCATGTTCAGCTTGTGATCAGCTGCAAAACTGAGATCCTGTTCAAATTTACTATTGTGAAGCTAGCTAGGTCCTCTCCCAATCCTATACACATGCAATGAATTATTTTGCTTTGCCATAACACAGAAGTTTGCATTTCTCTGCTGAATTTGATTTTGTTTGTTTCAGCTCAGCTTTCCTTTCTATCCTGATCACTTAATTTATTCCAACATGTTTCCCTCTCCGTTTGACGTCATCTGTAAAACTGGGAAGGAGAGCTAACACCTCTGAAAATCTAATTATTTGTTATTAAAAGAACTTAAATGCGGCCTTTCTGATTTAGAATTTGAACCACCCAGAGCAGCTAAAAAAAAAGTGTAAAAATACAAAAGCGTGAGTCATAATTAATAACTGATAGATGGAGTAGCAAACAGCAACACCCCTACAAAAATAACCTCAGCCTTTATATATATATGAGAAAGTCTCCCTCCTAGCTTCAGGATCAGTCAGCCACATGGAATTGTCTATTAAAGATGTTTGGTGTTTTCTTTTTTGGCTTCTGACTTAATGTCTGCTTTACTGTATTAATCTGCATTTGTGCCCATGTGTTTCTATATTTGAAAATAAACAAACATGTTTTAAAACAAACACACGCAGAACAACAACAACTGAAAGGGTGTCAGCAGGCGAAAAAAACTATTAGCATAAAATGGTATTGAGTATATTACAGAATGTCAATAGCAGGGGTATGATATACTGGGGAAGGGGGTTCTAAAGGCTGGGCGCCACCACTGAGAAGGCCCTGTTCCTTTCCATCTGGGCATCTTCTGCGGATGACCTCAGTGAATGGGCAGCATCATTAAAGGTTCCTTTGGAGTTTGGGGGGCAATTTTGAATTTCATTTGCAAACAGACCAACAGCCAGAGCAATTGATGCAAAAAAGAAGTCAGAGGCACACAAACACCAAAAAACCAGCACCAATCAATTGTCCAGCAATAGCATTTTGTCCTAGCAGCAGTTTCTGACAAAGGAGACCAAGTTACAGTGGTCCAGGCCGTCTGACTGCGGCCAAGTCTGCCATCCCTAGAAACGGGCTCAGCTGGTGAAACTGTGCAGAAACACTCCTGGTCACAGCTGCCACCCGAGAATCCAGGAATAAAGTTAGATAAAGAAAATTGGGAACCTGGTTTTTCAAAGGTAGTGCAACCTTTGAAACAGACTGAGCTTGAATCCTGACAAGAGAGAAGTACTGTTTTTGGGGGACAGGGGGCGGGTGGGTGTGGGGGACTCCCTGATCCTGAATGGGGTAACTGTGCCCCTGAAGGACCAGGTGCGCAGCCTGGGAGTCATTTTGGACTCACAGCTGTCCATGGAGGCGCAGG